CCTGCCTCAGCCACCTGAGTGCTAGGATTGCAGGTGTGCGCTACCATGAGCAGTTTTTTTTTTTTTTTGGTTGGGGTCTTTTTAGAGACAGGGTCTTGTTATGCAGTTCAGGCTGGCCTTGAGCTCAGGCTGGTCTTGAATTTGCAGCAATCCTCTTGCCCCAGGCTCCCGAATAATGGGATTTGACAGGATTATAGTCATGTACTACCACACTTGGCTATAATAAATAAGATTTTATTTATTTATTTGGTGCTTGGAATCGAACTCAGGACCTTGCACTTGCCAGGCAGGCGCTTGTACCACTGAGCTATATCCCCGACCCAGGACCAGCTTTTTTTTTTGAGGGGGGGAGTCTTGCCAACATCTTTGGTGATCCACAGAGGTTGAATAAGCCATGGCCAAGAGGACACTTTCCACCATCACCTCACTGGGAGGACCTCTGCCAGCGTGGGGCAACACAGGAGGGTATAAAGAAATGGACCTTTGTGTCCCAACACCAGAAATCTCATCCCCAAGAAGAAAGGTGGGCAGGGGGCTGGGGAGATGGCTCAGTAGAATAAGGGCTTCCCTGGCAAGCCCAAGGGTCTGAGTTCAATCCCCAGTTCCACAAAAAAAAAGTGGGCAGGCATGATGGAAAGTCTTAATAGGTATGTGGCAGGGAGCTCCACTCCAGACAAGGTCTGCCTTCCAAGCGTTAACTTTGGGCCCTGAGGTTACAGAGCAGATGGTCCCACATAGATCATAGGATGTAGAGTATGCCAGACAGGCCCAGAGGCCATGTGGTGTTGTGCAGGGGATAGTACCTCCTCAGGTTTTAGCACCCCCAATTACCTGGCATGAAGCCTCACTTCTGGCCAGAAGTGTTGAGGGGGATGGTTGGGGAGACCCAGCAAGGGTGTGAAGAAGCACAACAGGCAGTGGCTATTTGCATGACTCTTAGTCCCCTCCTCTGAGCCCCCTTCTTACTCCTCCTCCCTGAAGGAGTAGCCTCTGTCTGCAGTAGCCCAGGACCTGGTTCTGATTCTTTGGTCTTTTTTTTTTTTTTTTTTGCAGAACTGGGGATTGAACTCAGGCCCTTGCACTTGCCAGGGAAGTGCTTATTCCACTGAGCCAACTCCCCGGCCCCCCTGGTTCTGATTCTTACTTCCTCTCTAGTTATGTATGTCACTGTGATTTCAGTCAAGCCTCTGTACTTCTTGGAGCCTCAGCTTCCACATCGGTAAAATAGCTCTGAGGAGGCTGGGTCTATACCAGTGATGGTAAACCTGTTAGAACTTTCAGTGATACAAAGAGCCCACTGTAGCATGCATGCTCTAGGTTCACCACCATTAGTCTATACCCACTCCCTCTAGGTTTGTAGGGCATAAGTTATAGACAGTTAATTAGATTTTTTTTTTCTGGAGGTGTGGAAGGTAGTTGGATTGTGAGACCTGGCCTCTCCTTAGAAAAGTTGAGTTTCTCTGTCTCTCTCCAACTTAGAAAATTATAACCCTAATGATGAGGGAATTGCCCCAGGACCTCCCTCCCACCCCATCTTGCCCTGGGAAGGAAGAGTAGGGGTCTTAGATGGGATAGGCACTGCTGAGAGACATAATCTTCCCATGTCTCCCCAGCTCCCCAGCCAAAAGTCCTTCCCCTGGGTATGTAGCCTCTGGGAATCTGGGCAACAGACAGTGGCTACTTGCATGACTTAGTCCCCTCCATAGTTCTCCACCAAGTGTCTGGGGTGAGGAAGCAGTTCTAGGCTCTCTTCTTAGCCATGCTGAGCACCCTGAGGGGACCTGTCCCTGACATTACTCCTTGGGTGGCCCTAGCTTTGGTGACAGGCAGGTAAGGGTTAAAAGGTGTGGGCCAGCCCAGTTCCTGGCCAGGTAGGCTGGGCCACTACCTTGTGGGAGGTGGCCAAGGCAACTGCCACTGCAGCTTGCTGCCACTGCCAGCTGAACCAGGGCCTGGTCAAGACAACTATTTTCTTGGAGGTACCGGAGGCCACCCCATAGAACTCTGGCCTTGGTGAGCACCTGGAAGCAGTGAGTCCAGGGTGTGTGTGTTGGGGGGGGACAAGGGCATGGCGCATGGCATAGGGTATGCTGAAGTTCCCTTCAGAGAGAGCTAGGTCTGTGGGAGAGGTACACTGACAATGTGAACTGGGATAGGGGTCTTGGAGTGAAGCCCAATATGTCCATCTTTTTCTGGGACAGATTGATTCCTAGCTGGAAATGGGAGAAGAGGTATAAGGAAGAGCAACCTAAGTCCCCCTCCTCCACCCCACTCGCACTTCCTCTTTTCTCTCCTGCTGAGCAGCCTCTGCCCTCCCCCACCTCAAGGCCAGCCCCTCAGGAAAGGCCAGACCTGGCTATTGCAAAACGATTTCCCAGGCATCCACCTGCCTACCCCCCATTTGTTCACTTGGAATGGAGGAAGTGAAGGCTTAGAGGTGTAGGACAGTCCAGACTTTGGGAGTGTTTATTTGTTCCCGTAGTGGCAGAATATGGAGGTGGGGGTCCTACTGACAGTGTTGGGGTGCCACCCAGGTGAGGTATCTTGATTGTAAACAGTCATTACAGCCAGGAATTTCTTTCTGGGCTGAGGTGTCAGAAGGGCAGACCTGAAAAACCTGCTGGGCCCGCCTCAGGGTGTGGGGGTGCCCTCTTGCAGTTCTCCTACTTCAGCCCTGCCCTGTTAGGGATGGCAGGCTGATCCCATGGAGGACTGGCTAACCCTAGAAGGCCCCTGGGGTTACCTTTGGGAGGCCCAGAGGCTGGAGAACAGATTGCTCAGGATCCACCATCTATGCTTGGTGACAGGACAGTGCTAAGCCGCGAAGCCAGTGTATGGAGGGCAGGTGAGCAGAGGTGAAGGCTCCAGAGCTGGGTGTGGTGTGTGGAGCATTGACCTTGTGCCTAGCCTGCCCAGTGACCTTATGACTCATGTCCTAGCTATGTCCCAGAGGTCAGGCTGACAGGGCGGAGTTGGGGTTCCTGTCTGGACCCCATTGACTTCCAGGATGCTCTGAGCTCCCAAAGAAGGAAAGGTTGAGGCAGCCCTGTGTGGGATGTGGAACCCAATTTGGTGAAAGAGGTGAAAGGCCCAGGGGTGGAGGTTGGGTTCTTATTGGGGTGGAGGAGGGCTCAAGGGAACTTTGTGAAAGTCCCCCACAACCCAAACAAGGCCTTGGAAAATAAGAGAAACCCCTGGACCTGTGAGGCAGAGGTGGCTGAGCTGGGGCATATACAGGGAAGTGCCAGCCCTTAGATAGGTGAATAAGTGAGGTCTCTGTAAAGTCCACTTGGCTTTGTGGAATGGCTGTGGCATATGTGTCCGATATTTTGGCCTGCCTGGGCCACACTGAGTACACATAATACACATTGTCTTGGGCTACATGTAATATATAGATAGATAGATAGATAGATAGATATAGATATAGATGATAGATAGATAGATAGATAGAGATAGAGATAGAGATACATAGATATATCTATATCTATCTATCTATCTATATATATATATATATATATATATATCTGCCTTTTAAAATATTTTTACTGGGGATACAGCTCAGCAGCATAAGGGCCTGCCTGGCAAGTGCAAGGTCCTGTGTTCGATCCCCAGTAAAGGAGAGCAAGTGTCTTGTGGGCTGCAGGTTAGACACACCTGCTTTAGGAACTGACCTTCCCTCTCTTAATGAGGACTGGGGCAACTGCTTCAGGGGATGGATACAGACCCTATGGGGCAGGTAGGACTGAAAGTGGGGCACCTTACAGGCCCCAGAGCTGAGGGGAGCTTGACAGTAGCCCACAATATAAAGATGGGGAAAGTGGGCTGGGGAAATGATAAAGCAGCATAAGTGCCTGCTTGACAAGCATAAGGTCTTGAGTTTGGTCCCTGATACCAAAAAAAAAAAAAAAAAAAAAAAAAGAAGAAAAAGACAGGGAACATGCTTGAACCCATGCTTCTTGGCTGACTGGTCTTCACCCCACCTGGCTACAGTGGCAAAAGTAGCCATGGATTTCAGGGTAGGTGAGGCTTGCCCAGTCATCTGCCATGGAGAGATTAGGCCAAGTGTGGGAGGTGATTATCACCAGGTTGCCCAGCTGCAGACTGAACAGGATGTGAGAGGGAGGGAGAGCAGGCAGCCAGCCAAGGTAGGCTCCATGATCAGCCAAGGTTTTGGGGGGCAGAAAGGGCAGGAGGCATGTGGCTTGTTATCTGTAGTTGTGGACTTTGCTTCTCACAATTCTTGGCTTGGTGACTTCCCTTTGGTAGTCTCAGGACAGGCTCAGAGGAAGAAAAAGGCAGAAGGAACCCTGATACCATGTGACTACTTGCTATACCAGAGCCACAGGATGGAACTGGGACAATATTGACCCAAAGACCTGGGCATAGATCCTGGCTTGACTCTCTGGGCTTGTGTTTATACAGTCATTTGTTCAGTCAGCAACACATTCTTGGAGTACTTGCTGTGTGTGTCGTGATATTCAAGGTACTGAAAATGCTGATATAATAGGACACACAGGGAAGCATAGAGAAGCTGGTCTCTTGTTGAACAGCAATAGTGGGAGCGTACTATGCAGAGTCCATCTCTGGAGGTGACACGTAAGCCCTAGAATGTTAAGTGAGAAGCAAGAATAGGGTGGTGAGACTTTGAAAACAGCACTCCTGACAGCAGCCACAGCCCAGGCAAAGACCCTGAGGATGAATAGATTGGGGAATTTATGAGGAAGTTGATGAACTTGAAGCAGCTGTAGTGTGGGAAAGCATATAGGACCTGAAGGTGGGCCTAGACCGTGTCCTTGACTGTGGGCAAGACATTTCATCTTTCTGTATCTTACTTTCCTCATCTCTAACATGGGGGTAATAATAACAGAACTCCTATCACTGGGGGGTTGTGAAGATTTAGAGTGGTATATTAGGTAACTGTTCTAGGCACCCAGGTGCTTAATAAGTACCCCTTGTTGTTATATTTGATTGAATTTTTACCATTATTTCTCTCTTTTCAGGCAAGACTTCTGGCTGTGACCCATGGGCCTCTGAGGAGGCGTAAATACACCCAGCTTCCTACTTGCTGTGTTCCCACTCAATGGGAAGGGAACCAAGGTACCCGGGCCAAGTGGGTCCTGACAACACAGAATATGAGAGGGCAGGTCAGGCAGGTGGGTGGGGCCCAAAGTACTTTAAATTCCCAGCTGGAGCATGGGTAGTTGGGTTGGGCCAGGCATCAGGATGTGGGGTTGTGTCATGAATTGTGCTTTCTTAATGGCTCCTGTGTCACTGCCAGGCCTTGTCTAACCATCGGCCACGGGCTCCCCATAGCATCAGGATGGAAGTCAAAGGTCAGCTGATCAGCTCTCCTACCTTCAATACCCCAGGTTAGTAGCTGGTTCTCTCTCCTGCTGCTTATCCCCTGCTCTGAATCACCGTCTGCCCTCTTGAGGAGGGTTGGTCCCTGGTCCCACAGGTGCTCCAGGATGCCCTAGCTATCCTACTGATCTTTGCTCCCCCTGTGTCCAGCTGCTTTGTTTGGAGAGGCTGCCCCCCAGGTGAAGTCAGAGCGTCTTCGGGGGCTGCTTGACCGGCAGCGGGTCCTTCAGGAGGCACTCAACTTAAAACTTCAGGAGCTCCGAAAAGTTTGTCTCCAGGAGGCGGTGAGAGCCGAGTTCAAGGGGTCTTAGGTGGGAGCGGGTGAGGAGCTGGGGCCCTAAGTAGACTGATTATGATGGCAGCTGCTGAGCTACTTATCTGGACTATAGGTTCCCTGTTGCCCTTTGTCTCCTCAAAGCTCTGCTTAAATGTCTTAGAATTATTGTATTAGTGAAATATGGTGTTGTAGGCTCACAGTTCCCTCTCAACAACTCCAAATCTCTAAAATCTCAAAAACTCAAAGCAGTTTCCAAAATTTGTCTGCACAGCCTACTCTGAACTGACATAGGATGATTTGTAGGATTTTTTTTTTTTTTGAGATGGTCTTGCTCTGCGGTACAGGCTGGCCTTGAGCTCACTTTTTAGCCCAGTCTGAGTTCTTTTTTTTTATTTTTGGGGAACTAGGGATTGAACTCAGGCCCTTGCGCTTGCCAGGGAAGCGCTTATTCCACTGAGCCATCTCCCTAGCCCCATTTTTTTTCCAGTCTGAGTTCTTGAACTCTCAGTGATCCTCATGCCTCAGCCTCCCAAGTGCTGGGGTTACAGGTGTGCCCCACCATGGCAGACTGATTTGTAGTTTTGCCATACATCTTTTAGTATAAATGTTAATACAATTTGCTGGAAATAATAATGTGGTGCAGACTACGCAGCTCCAGACCTGATTGGAGAAGACTGTGTCTTTTTGTATAAATTACAATATTCTGCTCTCCAGGTTTTGTAGCCTTTGGTGCCCACTGACCCAGGGTTTGTGCTATTGAAGGACTAAGATTCTACACTACTCATCAGAAGAAGAGACATAACATATGTGGGGTGCTAGGCAGGGCCAGGCTCGATAGAGGACTTCTGTAATTTCTGGGATCATCCCTGCTTTACTCTATAATTACAACTGACACTTGGTCCTATCCCCTGCCCCTTCCAGGAGCTCACTGGCCAGTTGCCCCCTGAGTGCCCGCTGGAGCCTGGTGAACGACCCCAGTTGGTCCGCCGGCGGCCCCCTGCAGCCCGTGCCTACCCTCCACCGCATCCTAACCCAGCACATCACTCCTTGTGCCCTGCTGAGGTGAGCAAATGGGTGTGGAGGGCAAGGTAGTCGGGGTAAGGGACAGGAACAGGCATAGAAAGAATGCTGTATAGCCTGGGAGGTGGGGATGAGAAGGGAAAGGGCTTGGTTTTCTGGCATTATGCTGTCCCTAATGCTGTCAGGACTGGCCTCCCACTTTCAGGAAGATGAACAAGCCCAGCTCCAACAGAGTGAATAAGCTCCATCCCTAGGCACATAGGCCTGCCTGAAGGAAGAGCAGGCCCCACTTCCAGGACAGATGGATTCTGCCACTGCCTGGGTCTTGTGCCTGACCATTTCCAACATTTGGTCCTGTCCCACCCCTCTTGGGCCCCATAGGAGTTGGCTCTTGAGGCCCTGGAGCGGGAGGTGTCAGTGCAGCAGCAGATCGCTGCAGCTGCTCGTCGCTTGGCCTTGGCCCCTGAGCTGAGTGCTGAGCAGCGGCGGCGCCGGCGCCAGGTGCAGGCAGATGCACTGAGGAGGCTGCATGAACTGGAGGAACAGCTTGGAGATGTTCGGACCCGCCTTGGCCTCCCAGTGCTTCCACCCCAGCCACTACCACTGTCCTCAGGGGCACTCATCACTACCCAGGGAGTCTGCCTAGGTACACGCCTCACTCAGCTCAGCCAAGGTGAGCCAGGCTCTAGAATCCCACCAGCGAGACTAGGGAAGCATAGATCAGGGAATGAGCTCTTATCTAATGGATGCGGTAGGGTTGGGAGGATGAGCAGCCAGTGAGTGCTGGGAGCTGGACAGATCTAAGGGAGCCACCAATAAGAAGAGTTGTGATAAAGGGCGATAAATGGGCAAGGGAGACCTTGGGGAGACTGACCAGTAGGCCCTAGGAAAGTGAAGACCCAAGTCCATGGTGGTCTTGCATCTAGGTAAAAGTGAGTTCCTGGGGAGGGAATAGAGTGAGGAGGGACTACCCAGAATGCAGGGTAAGCAGACAAGCCCATCAGGTGGGTCAAGGGAATGATAACCAGGCCTTGGGGTAATACTTCTGGTTCTTTCCTTTCTCACCTATAGAAGATGTAGTCCTGCACTCAGAGAGCAGCTCTCTTTCAGAATCTGGGGCCAGCCATGACAATGGTGAGGACTTGTATCCCTCAACCCGCTCCCAGCCCTGTTAGGTTCAATCAGCCCATTCTGTGTTGCACAAACCTTCCCCTTGTTGTTTAACTATTCCTTAGCTGCACTCCATCTTACTGTGCCCCTCACCTTTCTAGAGGGCATTTTGAGACAGGGTCTTGCTGTGTAGTACAGGCTGGCCTTGAACTCTTGCTGTGTAGTACAGGCTGGCCTTGTGTAGCCTAGGCTAGCCTCAAACTTGCAGCAATCTTCCTGCCTCAGCTTCTTGAGTGCTGGAATTACATCCATGCACCAGCATGCCTAGCTTGCCCCCATCTTCTTAGTATCACCCCATGGCTGCCCCCACAGCCCCAGGGCACACTTGTGATCTCCATTCCTCCCCTTTTTGCCCTGTCTCATCCCTTAGCTGCTTAGCCTGCTTAACACTATGCCAGCATTGGCCTTTGCCCTGTTCTTTGTGCTAACCTGTCCTGGTCCTTCTGGGCCTTTTTTTAAAAAAATATTTCATTTTAAATTTTAGTTATTTATGTGTGTGTGTGTGTGTGTGTGTGTGTGTGTGGCCAGCTCAGCCCACCAGGTGGCAGGGCTGGCTGGCATGTGGTGCTGGGGGATGGAACCGTGGTCCCTGTGCTTTGCTAAGCTTGTTCTAAGTAGGTGCTTTAGACCACTAAGCCATCTCACCAGCCCCTGGGCCTTTTTTTTTTTTAACTTCTACATCAGTTTGTTTTCTTCTATGCAGAGGAGCCCCGTGGCTGCTTCTCTCTGGCAGAGCGCCCCTCACCACCCAAGGCCTGGGACCAACTTCGGGCAGTATCTGGGGGGAGCCCTGAGAGGCGAACCCCATGGAAACCACCCCCCTCAGATCTTTATGGAGATCTGAAGAGCCGGCGGAACTCTGTGGCCAGCCCTACCAGGTGAGGACAGGCTCTTTTTCCCCCACCCCAGGAGCCAGGAATGGGATCCTGAGCCTGGGCTGCCCAGAGGGCCTGCTGTGGGTGTGGTCTCTAACCTGGGCCTGGACCTGGGCCTGCCCATCTCTGTCTAGCCCCACCCGCTCGCTGCCCAGGAGTGCCTCCAGTTTTGAGGGGCGAAGTGTGCCTGCCACCCCTGTCCTCACCCGGGGCACTGGCCCCCAGCTGTGCAAGTAAGGGGACTCTGTGGGTGGGTCTGAGGATCAGAGGAGGGAACCTTTAGATCTAATTGGAAGTGTTGAGGTGAAATTACCAAAAAGTGTGGGATATGGGCACTTGGGCTTTGAAAGTAGGAATTATCTTGGTGAAGAAAGGGGTGAGAATTGGGAACAGAAGCACCAGAGTTTGAGTATGGGCTTTCCTGTGTCTCAGACAAGTCATTTCCTTTCTGTGAATCATTGCCTCATTTTTGTAATGGGCATAGTAATACTAGCCTTTGAAAACCACAGGCATTTGAACACATTATGAGTGGTTGATTAAAAAATTCCAATAAGATAAAACCCCATGGAGTAGGAATGTAAAGAACTCAATATCAATAAAGACTCCTACTTTTTATTTTAAAATAAAAAACAGGCATAATAAGTTCTGGATAACATGTACTGAGTACCTACCATCTTCTAGTAGTCAGTACTTTATGTGATAGCAACTTAGTTAAATATCACAAGACCCCTTTGAAGGGCAGTTGTTGCCATTCTCATTTTGTAGATAAACTGAGGCATAAAGGTTATTTGTTAGTAAACTGAAGGCCTGATACTTGAACCCAAGCAATTTTGACTCTTATGAGTTTTCTTTTAACCGCTATACTGTTAAATACTCATAAGTGCCTACTTTTCCAGGCTGTAAAAAATCCCAAAGCCCTGTCCTTATGGGGCCTGCATTTGGTGCATGGTGGCTGTTGTTGTTCATGTACATGGTGTGATAGAGAATTCAGATTGGTCTTACATTCTATGCCTAAAGACTAGGGCTTCATCCTGGACATAGAGAAGCCATGAGCAGGGCCTTAGCAGGAGTTGAGGGGTCAGCTATCTTAGGAAGAACCCTCTGTGTGGCTTCTGCCCTGCTAGTATTTTCTCCTCAGCTCTATGCATATTTTCACTCCCCCAGCTAGCAGTCCTTTCCCTCAATACATTGCCAACCCCTGGGGTCCCTAGTCTGGGACCAAACTTCAGCTGTCATTTGCATGCCACTATCTATCACCATCACACACACACAACTTCTCATTCTAGGTCCATTTTAGAGATGTATAACTGGAGGCTCAGAAAAAAAGGGGTGGTCAGCACTCAGGTGACTTGCCTGATTTTTCTGACCTTCCTCCTATTACCCCTACTTCTGTGCCCCAGACCTGAAGGCCTCCATTCTCGCCAGTGGTCCGGCAGTCAGGACTCCCAGATGGGCTTCCCCCGGGCGGACCCTGCCTCCGATCGCGCCTCCCTCTTCGCAGCTCGCACCCGGCGCAGCAACAGCTCTGAGGCCCTGCTGGTGGACCGGGCAGCTAGCGGGGGAGCTGGCTCCCCACCTGCCCCTTTGGCTCCCCCTGCCACTGGTCCCCCAGTCTGCAAAAGCAGTGAGGTGCTGTATGAGCGCCCCCAACCACCCCCTGCCTTCTCCTCCCGCACAGCTGGCCTCCCAGACCCTCCCCGGGCCACCCGACCAAGTTCAGCTGCCCCTGTCTCCCGAGGGGCCCCCAGGCTCCCACCTGTGTGTGGGGACTTTCTCTTGGACTATTCCTTGGACCGGGGCCTGCCTCGTAGTGGAGGCGGGGCAGGCTGGGGGGACATGCTGCCTGCAGCTGAGGCCCCAGGACCCCTCTCCCGTCGGGACGGGCTCCTTGCCATGCTCCCTGGCCCACCACCTGTGTATACAGCTGACAGCAGCAGCCCCCTCCTCCGCAGCAAGGATCCCCACACCCGTGCTACTCGTACCAAGCCCTGTGGCCTGCCCTTGGAAGCTGCTGAGGGCCCAGAGGTGCATCCAAACCCTCTGCTGTGGATGCCCCCACCCACCCGAATACCCCCGGTTGGTGAGCGCAGTGGTCACAAGAATCTGGCCCTGGAGGGGCTGAGGGACTGGTACATCCGGAACTCGGGACTGGCCATGGGGCCCCAGCGCCGGCCTGTGCTGCCACATATGGGCCCACCACACCCGCCCTTCCTCCATTCCCGCTGCTATGAAGTGGGCCAGGCGCTCTATGGGGCCCCCAGCCAGGCACCGCTCCCACACTCGAGGAGTTTCACAGCACCCCCTGTCTCCGGCAGGTATGGGGGCTGCTTTTATTGATGATGGGTAGGGGTCTCTTGAAGCATATGTTGAAGTTATCCAGGCCAGGGAACTAGTCATGATAGCTAATGACTGGGAGCACAAGGACATTAGTTGCAGCATTGGCACACTGTACCAGGTGTGAGCAGTGTTAGTCCTTAGGGTCCTGGTGGAGGGGGATCTTGGGTGCTGGTAGTAGTAGCTCTTTACCAAGCTATAGAAGGAGGGCCTAGGAGATAGCTCAGTAGTGTATGTGCTAGCCTGGCAAGTACAAGGTCCTGAGTTTGATCCCTGGTACCAAAAAAGTAAAAAAAGGCAAGCTGTAGAAGGATTTTAATATTCTAACTAGTGCATGTCAACTGGAAATGAGCTTTGAAGCCAGGGTGCTGGGAGGAAGGGACATCATGTGCCCCTTACCTTTCTGTTCCTCTTTTTCCATGCCCCATGCTTGGGACCCTTGAAGGTGCTGTCATATGCCTGCCTTCACCTCTTTAATGAGCCTATTTTCCTCTTTCTTTCTGTGTCTTGTCTGTCTTTTCTTTGGTTTTCCCTACCCTGTCCTCCGGATTCCTGCTATCCCTTCTAAAGATACTACGCGGACTTCCTGTACCCCCCGGAGCTGAGCGCTCGCTTAAGTGACCTGACGCTAGAGGGGGAGCAGTCTTCCAGTTCTGACCCCCAAACCCCAGGGACACTGGTTTGACTCTGATATGCCCCTTGTTGGCCTGAGCATGACTCCAACTTGGGGAGCACAAAGGCGACCTTGCTGAGCTCTGGGATGTAGTTGCTCAGTCCTGGGGGTGGGGTGCCAACCTGATCTTCCAAGGCCCTTGGTTCCCTATGGGCCCAGGAAGGTGTCTGATACCCTGCTTCTCTTCTCATACTGTGCTGGGGACTGGAGGCCTCAGTCAGCTTCACAGACGAGGGAGATGATGTCATGGGGACTCTAAGCCCCTTCCTACATTTCTGTTTACAGTTGTGATTTAGTATTCACTGTCTTTACCCAACACTAGGAATTTTATAAAAGGGAAACTGTGAGTTTGTCCTGGTTGGGTTCATTCCTGTGCCCATGCCCAGCCTGTTCCATCTAGGAACACCCTCCCCCTGATGAAATAGACCATAAAGGATCTTGGGGCCCTGTTTAAGGCTACCTGGAGACTGTTATGTACAGAACTCCCTGCTCTCCCCCACTAGGGGAGTTCTTGTGCAAATGGGCACTCTGCCCACCTTTGGATGATGTCTGGATGGGATACCTAAAGGAACCCCTATCCCTCTCTGCCCCTAGCCTGTGTGCCCACCATCCCCAATCAGGAGGCCCTGCAGGAGGTTAGCAAGGGGCAGAGCCATCAGGTGTGTTACACCACAGGATGCTGTGGTGGTTGAACCTGGCATCTCGTAGATGCCAGAAAAATCTTCAGGTGACATCTGGCCATGGGCCACAGGCCATGTCATATCCTCCTGACTTTCCTTACATTCACTGCTTTTTAAACAAATCTGTACAAACTGTTTTCTATGATACCTATCTGTGACTTTCTGGACCTGGGGGGGGTTCCCCTACCCCCTTTACCTGGTGTTAAACTTTTCTTTTTGTACCAATGGATCTGGGCCCAAGACACTACTCACACTGGAAGGGGATTTCTATAATAAATGTGTAAACTGAACCCCTGTGTTGCTCCTCTGTTTTGCCACAGGGGCATACACTTCTAGTTCAGTCCAGATAATACACTACCTTTTATAGGAAAATAATACTGTGAGGTGGGCCAGGGTAAAACAAAAGCACTATGGAAGTAGCTAGAGGTAAGGCAACTTCTTTGCCTGCTTCTACTCAGATTCCTGGTTCACATCAAGAACTCTTATAATTTGTACATGCATATGCATGTATATGTGAGATACTAGGGCTTCCCACTTGTTAGACAACATGATGCCACTGAGCGACTTCCCATACACTGCGCCCCTGATCTCTCTGTGCTGATTCAGAACAGATTTGATGAAGAGCCTAAGAGCTTAGCCCTCTAGCCCACAGAAAGTCAGATTTCAACAGCATTGAAAAACAAGCCATCGTGTCCATTGAAATGCACAAGGACTTCAGCCAGGAGCCCAAACCAGCTCGAGAGATGCAACGGCTTTATTGTTGGAGTAACACTGATATAACCACCCCTTTTCCATTTGGGGCTACCCCACCCTCCACCCCTTGGTCTTTGACACTCTGGAACATTAGAGGAGGAGTAAAACCTCTTCAACAGCTGAAGGCAACTGGAACTGGTGAAGGTTGGGGTCACCTGGTTCAACAGGGTCAGGATACCTGAGGGAGGACTTAGCTGGGGGGTCTAGATTTGGCAATGCCATAACCTAGATTTGAAGCTGGGGTGGAGTTTGGGAAAGCCTTGGTCCAAGGTTCAAGATGTGAGAATGGTTTGCCCCAAGCCCCAGCTTTGGTGCTGAACATGGAAGACAAATGAGTCCCAGAATTTAAATACCTCTGGGCCCATGGTTTGAGACTGGCCATAGATGCTTTAGTACTGAGCCCAAGCCTGAGGCTGGAGTGGCTGTGGGTCCCAAGTTCAGGGCTGTGGAAGACTAGTACTTAGATAAGGAGAGGGGGGTTGGGAATGAATGATACCCTAATTTTAAACTGGGGTGGAAATCACTGATGGCCAATCTTTTTGACTGGCCAGGGTGCTCTTGACTGCTATTGTAAAGGCTGGAAAAGGGCTCTGGGTCCTGGATATGGGTTGGGTGCGGGTGGGGTGTTCTTCAGGTCCTGGGTGCAGGTCCCAGGCCCTTAGGATCCAGCCTCCTGTTCTTGTCCCAGCGCCTCTAGTAACAGCCCCATTGGTGTCCGCTTGAGACCAATGCTCTCCATTTTGTTCTCAATCTTGTTTTTAAGGTTTCGAAGGCGAATGGAGGCGTGCACCAGAATCACTGTGGGTGGTATGAAGAAGAGTGGGATCAGTGGGGTGGGGCCTCAGCTTGCAGCCAATCGGAGCCCACAGAAGGGGACTAGTGCACAGGCAGGCCAATGGAGTGCTGGGCAGCTGAAGTATGGCTGAGTAAATCAATTTGGTAGTGGAGGTGTGGCCAGAAAGGTTTTTCAAACTTGGAAGTGGCCGCTTTAAGGCACTTAACACTAGGAGACCCAAATTTTCACTAATAAGGGAGGTGTTCCCAGATGGGGTGGGTGGTGGGCGAAGCCAGGACTGCAGCATTTAACTGAGTACCCTCTGGGTTTCCCGGCCCTGTCTCAGACCAAGAACCCAGGCCCAGCCTAGCATCTTAAACATTGACCGTTTAACCAGGCATTTCAGGGGGTTAGTAGACTCACGAAGCACGGGCCCGGCGATGCTGAACAGGAAGGTGCACGCGCTGCCCGCGACCCAGAGAATGAGGAGGCCAATGGCAAGCACTGCAGCTAGGCAGGCGGCAGGGTGATTGCGGCGGCAGCGTCTCACTGCTGCGTGGGTCTCAGCCGCCCACACCAGCATGGCAAGGGCCACCACCACTGCCAGCGCACTCAGAAGGGTGTGCATCGGACGCACATACCTGTGGGAACAAGGGTACTAAGCTAGCCTCACCATCCCCTCCCCCATCCTGAGCACCAAGAGCTTTGATTTCCCATTTCCATTCTCCAGCCTGCTAATATTCCCACCAGCCCCAACAGGTACATACTCCAGGGGAATTCCTATGGACCCTCATTTCCTGTTTCAAGCCTACATACCATTTTCCTGAGGGCTTTGCTTCAGGTCCTCCCATTCTAGATGCCCCGAGCTCTTAGCATTTTCCTGGTCTTTCCTACCCTCGCAGGGCTTATCTCTAGCACCCTCCATCTGTCCCCACATACCCCATTTAAGGTAGCTTCTGCAGATCCCTCATCCAGGCCTCTAGTCTCCACACACTTCCATCTCTCCTGGCCCCCACAATCATTAGAGGATCCTCTCCTAGGTGTCCTCTGTTTCCCCATCACCACCCCTATTTCTCTACAGATCCCTCCTGCAATCATTACTAGAATGCTTCCAGGCCTTTGGTCCCACTCTTAACTTCCAGCCCTTACGAAGACCCTCCTGTAGATTCTCCATCTCTTTGGTCTCAATCATTTCAACCCAGGTTCTTCCCTCTGGGCTCAGGTTTTCCAGCAAGTATCTGCTTCTGGTGTGTTCTAATCGTGGACAAGTTACCTTCTAAGACCTGATACTCACTAGACTCACTTTCCAATCCCTCCAACTTTTACCACGTCCATGTCCCTGCCTCTGTCCCAAGACCTCCAGGGCTGCTGTAATTTGGTCCTATCACATCACCAAACCAAGTATGAATCCCCCATTTTTAGGCCTTATTTTCAGGTCCACCTCCCAGCCCACTTTCTCTTTTAGTTCCATTCTCTCCTGCCTCTTCAGGTCCTTCCTTCAACATTCTTCTTTCCCATCAGGCCCTCCTTATACCCAGAAGGACCTGCCTCCTTTCCCCTGCCCCTTAGGCCTTTCCCATTTTTACCGAATTTGCCCTTCTTGGACTAGCATTTTCCTAGTTTCCCTCTCCAGGTCCTCAAGGATCCGCAGGGCACTCGTCCATGGCCCTGGTGTCTCCGGCCAACCAACCACCAAGTCCCTCCCTCCCTCACCCGGCTAGAGCGAGACCGAAGCCAAAGCAGAGAAGGTAGTTGGTTTGGTAGTAGAGAAGGTTGTTGATGACGCGGTGGCACCATCGCTGCGGGTCGCATGGATCCGGTGCTGCCAGACGCGCTGACCCCAGAACAAAGTCGTCTAGGGTGCGTAGCGGAGGCAGCCGCACCTCCGACATCCCGTCCTGTTGGTTGCTGGACCAGCCCGAAGGCCGGACTACAACACCCGTTACACCTTGCAGCACCGCAAGGCACACAGGGAAATGGAATCTGGGCCAACCGACAAATCCCGCCCCTCAACAGGTGGACTGCGCAGACGCGGCCGTGCACGTGACCGGGAAGGCACGTAATGCGTCACACAGTGGGGGCGGCAAGGAATGCCGGGAAATCAAGCCTCTGTCCCTCGGCGAGGAGCCCCGACATTCCTCAAATTTCTACCCACACCACGGCGGCTTGCACTGGACGGTGCCAGCGGTTCAAGCATACAGCAGCCAGAGAGGCAGAGATCAAGCAGCAGGGGCTCTCACTAGGATCAGAGATGGATTTCGCTTCCCGTCAGGCTCCTTAAGGGATCACACTTCTCAGGGAAACTCCATGCCCCGCCCTTGAGGTCAAGCCATAAATGCTGTTAGGGGCATTTTATTCTTATTCATCATATCAGAAATCATCTCTTCCTGGTAAGTTTTAAATCTCAAGGTAGGATTAGGACAGTTCCTCTGGGTCCCTGGCTGTCTTCTCTAGGATAGGTGCCCCAGGGGTCTGCTACCTCCTTGGATCATTGGCCTAGCTCTTTCAGCATAGTCATAGTCATCAAAAAGTGCTTGAGGGAAGTGAGCTGTTAGTTTAGACATAGCTTTGATGAGTCGAAAGTGGGCACAAGCCTCTTAGTGCTTGCTGGATGGTAGCTTACACAACACTTCCCCACACCCAAGGCGCAACTCTGCAATCTGTCACTGAAAGTTCCTAGCATAGCCCACAAGGTCCTTAAAAGTCGTCGTCATCACAGATGTCAAGGTACACGTCGAAAGCCTCTCTGTTGCAGTTTCCATCGGGAGTGAAGACGTATTTGTGAAAGGTTCCATCTACGCAGATGGCTGGAGGAGTGGTAAATGGTTAGGGGCTGCCACAGTCATACACCCTAGTCCTCTCAAGTGTCCCATGGCCTAAAGTTTACTTCCAAGCCTTTGCCCAAGTCCCATAAACCTCACTGATGATGGAGCTGAACCACATTTCAACTCCCTCAGGCTTTTTTTTTTGGTACTGGTAATTGAACACAGGTCCTTATATTTGCCAGGCAAGTGCTGTACTGCTGAGCTATATCCCCAGCACCTCCCTCAGGCTTCTGATGGCCCTCAAATTATTTTTCCCCCCAATTTTTTAATATCAAACTTGCAGGCTTTTGCCCATGCAGACCAGACCCCCTTCCCAACCAACAGGCTATTCCCACTCACCAATTACAGAGTTGACGTTCTTGGAAGTATTACGACCAAAGGCGCAGATGCATGCCGACTCAGCAGGCACAGTGAAGCTCGCCAGGCTCCACTGAGAGTCCACGTACTGCCCAATCATAGGCCCCACCTTGCCCACTCGAGCCAGCCTGCAGGCAGCACTGGGTAAGATTGATGTGATACATACATGGGCAGGGAGCTGGGGATACCACAGGGTGGGGTGGGGGTACTCACGCAGAGCGGCGGTTGAGGCGGGTATCCTTGAGAGCAAAGATATGCACAGTGCCCTTATCACTGGAAGCGCACAGGAAGGAGGAGTCATGGCTGAAGTTAATGCTGGAAAAGAGACCAGCGGTGATGCCCACATGACATATGCCATGGGGTCACTAGCTCTCTGCACATGTCCTGTGCTCACCAGTATAGAGTGGCAGGGTCAGTGCCTCGACGCAGCTCTACTAGTTTCTCCTTGGACTGTGTGTCGAAAAGGCGAATAAGGGTTCCTTTTTGGGAAGCTGAAGCCACTACGGTGCCTGGTTGGTTCAGGGACACACAGGCCACATCACTCTGATGTGCATTGATAGTGAATGGAGCAGATGAGGTGCCAGGCTTTGTGCTCGCCAGGTCCTGGGGTAGGAGGCAACAGTTCAGGGTTGGGATGGCATGGAGGGAAGGGGCCGTGGGTTCATAGGGAGAGCCAGCCCACCTGCGTGCCTACCTCCCTGCCTACCCTTGTCTGTTGGACAGCTTACCACAAGTTGCAGACTTCCACACTTGTGTCCTGGAAACACAAGAAGCTGCTTCTCCAGACTGGGACAGAGATCACAGAGCCCTAGGGTGTGAGGATGAAGGGCAGATAGGCAGATGGAGGACATGTGGAGGCAGGCATAGTCTCAGGTAGGACAAAACTGGTTAATGACACATGGTACCCAGAGAAGCCTCTGGGGGGCAGGCTTTCTCTTTGCTGGGCAGATCCTACTTTCCCCACACACTTTATTCCCATAAAGTGCTGGGCCAGCCATGGAGACCCAGTGCTGCTTTCTGTGCTCAGGCATGTCCCCATCAAGTGTTTCTGCTCAGTCACTGGGGGCAGGGCCAAGAGTAGGGAAAGAACTGACTGAAGGGTTGGGGCTGGGGAGACAGCTCAGTGGAATAAGTGCTTCCCTGGCAAGCGCAAGGACCTGAGTTCAATCCCTGGTTCTTAAAAAAAAAAAAATAACAAATCTGACTGAAGGATAGAAAGGAATGAACTGCACCTTTTTTTCTTAGCAGAACCAGGGATTGAACTCAGGCCTTTGCCCTTGCTAGGCAAGAGCTTATTTTACTGAGCCATCTCCCTGGCCCATGAACTGCATCTTTGAGTCCATTTGAGCATCTCTGTACAGAGCCCCTCTCTTGGCCCCCTTTCCAGTGTCTCTGGGTTTGTGCTCCTTTTTCTCGTCTCTGCCCTTTTGCCTGCACATGGCCTCCCCCTTACATCTGCACATAGAGAACTCACCCTTGGGGTTGTCCCTGGTGTCAAATTCAAAGAGCTTTCGGGGGTTGTCAGGGAAGGAGTACACATAGATTCGGTTCCTCAGCACGATCACGATCCTGTAGGTATCACAAGGCACAGAAGACTGTAAGGGGACCTGGCAAGCACAAGGGCCTGAGTTCAATCCCCGGTTTCGCAAAAAAAAAAAAAAAAAAAAAAAAGAAGAAGAAGAAGACTAAGGGGAGAGTGGGCTGCCCAGGCAGGATTAACCTTCCTGTGGGAACCTCCCCGGCTCTACCCCAGTCCTCTTCAGGCTTACTTGTCATGACGCATGCGCACAGCCAACACTGGTTTGGTGAAGGTGAATTCCAGCACCAGTTTGTCCTTGGAGTCCTTGCCTTCCCGGGCATCATCCCAGATCAGCACTGCTAGGCAAGTGGGTAGGTTGGTGGGGCCAAAGTTTAGGGTGATGGGCAGCCCTGATGACACAGGAAACCCATCCCTGCTCTCCATGGGACCATAACTCACCTTTGTGTGTGTGGTACCAGGGATTGAACTCAGGACACTGCACTTGCCAGGCAGGTACTTATTCTACTGAGCTATCTTATTGCCCCAGCCCATAACTCACCTTTTTGACCTTTCAGTAAACACCCAGTGTGAGCCCTGCAGAGAATGAACACTGTGGACATAATCCCTGAGAGAACAGGTGCTAGAACTGTTATGGCTAATTGGAGATGAGGAAACTGAGGTTTGAAGGGGTTGAATGTCTAGCCAAGGACCTTACAGCCCATTAACAACAAAGAAAATAAAAGGTTGGGACTCACACCGATGCCTGTAACTTCTCCTCTGTAATCATTTCTGCCTCTAGGGTCCCACTCCATATCCCCAGGAGATTTCTGGAAGGAATCCTAGGGTCTGTAACTTACCTTGTACAACTCTTGCCATGGTTCAGTGGGATGGACAAGAAAAACCCTTAAAACAGAATGGTACTTGAGGCTTAAGCCAACGGGTCTTGGAGAGACACTTCCAAGAATTGAAAACTTGTTAATTTGTATATCTTTTCGTGTGTGAAAGAATGAGACACAGTCTCAATATGTAGTTTATGCTGGCCTTCAACTCACTGTGGTGCCCAGGCTGGCCTGAACTCACAGTGATTCTCTTGCCTCAGCCTCCTGAGTGCTGAGATTACAGTGTACTGCCCTGCCTTGCTTGTGTCTTTTTTTTTTTTTTTTTAGTACAGGGTCTATAGGGTCTCACTATACAGATCGGACTTGTAGCGATCATCCTGTTTTCAGGCTCCCAAGTGCTGGGATTACAGGCACGTGCCACACCATGCCCAGTCTCATTTGCCCGTCTCAGCACACTCCTCTCAGTACACCTTGCCCGGGGTGAGGCCGGCACAGCACACAGGATCGAACCCCAGTCCCTGGATCTGCCTAAACAGGCATTTTAATCTGCTGAACTATCTGGCCAGCCCTCGTGGGGTTTTTTTGCTTGTTTGTTTGTTTTGGCAGAAGAGGCCCTTGCACTTGCCAGGCAAGTGCTTATTCTACTTAGCTATCTCCTTGGCCCCTCTTGTGTCATTTTGAATAGGCCATTTAATTTTACTGGATGGGTATAGTGGTGCACATCTGTAATCCCAGCACTTGGGAGGGTGAGGCAGGAGGATTATTGGAAATTCCAGGCCAGTTTGGGCTACAAAATGAGTTCAAGGCCAGACTGACCTGCATTGAAAGACCCTGTCTCAACAAGATAAAAATCAGAACTTAACCTCAGGCCAACAAGATAGCTCAGGGGACTAAGTGCCTGCTTAGGCAAGCACAGGAACCAAGGTTAGATTGCCAGCACTACATGGCTTGCCAACCTCACCCCGGGGTACGCTGAGCCAAGCATGGTGGTGTGCCTATAAACCCAGTGCTGAGGAGCCTGAGACAGGAGGAATCACTAAGAGTGAGCTGCGTAGTGAGACCCTGTACTAAATACATTTAAAAAAACAACCCTTAAACCTCACTGGACCTTAGTCTTCTCATTGGTAAAAAATAAGGAATAATGGAGGTGGGGGCGCAGTGGCAGGGTGTATACTTAGCCCATGCCAGGCCTATACATAGTTATACTATGAGGATTAAATAAATGAATACATGCAAACTCATGCATAGTTACTATGGAGATTAAATCAATGAATACATGCAAAGTGCATAGAATACTATGAAATTCACAACTAGTGCTCCATAGGGAAGGAGATGGCATACAGAGGCATTTGATAATTTGTTTTCTTTATTGTTGCAGTGCTGATGATCAAACCTAGGGCCTCTGACATGCCAGGCAAGTGCTGTACCAATGAGTGACACCCCTAGCCTGAAAAGTTTTTTTTTTTTTTTAATAAAAACAAAACATGGGGCTGGTGAGATGGCTCAGTGGTCTAAAGCACCTACTTAGAACAAGCTTAGCAGGACCGTGGTTCAATCCCCCAGCACCACATGCCAGCCAGCCTCGCCCCCTGCTGGGCTGAGCTGGCCACACACGTACACACACACACACACACACAAATAAATAAATTAAAAACAAAACAAAACACCCACTTCTCACACTTTGAGGACTCTGAGGAGCTCTGACATCTCCTCTGCCAGTGCTGCAGGGTTCCTGTGGGAGGGCATGGATCTGGGGAATCTAGGTCAAGGGCTGGATTAGGGCACTTACCTGAGATCTCTGAGAACTTGGGACTGCTACCACCACCCACCAGGGCCAGCAGGTTGGAGCGGTGCAGCATCTCTACCAGGCCCATGCTGCCCACCTGCTCGTGGTCTGGACAGGGACAAGTGTGTCAGTGGAGGTGGGTGCTAATGCCCACCCCAGCCCTTCTGCCCCCCTGCCATGTCCCCACCAGGTATCTCACCCAGATGCCCCTTCTCCATCAGTGGCTCCACATTGTAGATGCGCACACCTGTCTCCATGGCACAGCAAAAGCAGCCTGGGGACAGAAGGCATCCAGATAAGCTTAGATAATGCCAAGGGAGGAAGGTGCAGCCTGTGGCCTACCTCTAACCCTTCTGTCCCTCCCACAAGGGTACAAGTTCAGTCAAGTCCTTCTCACTTTGGTCTTGGTTGAAACGCAGGCTGGTGACCCCCCGAAGTGGCTGCTGAGTCATGGTTCAGGATTTCTTCCCTGGATACAACAGGATAATGTTGGGGAGAAAAGTCCTGAAGTCTCCTCTCCAAGTATTTTCTATCCCAAGTGATTTTTTTCTTCTCCTTTACTGTTTACTTCTTCACCAGACTGCAGAGACAGAAATAGAAGGAGTCTGGTGTCTTCCCTAAGCTCCCAAGTCTCCAAGCAAAACAGCCAGGAACCACCCATTCTCTCACATTTGGCAACACCAAGTCCAAGGCTACATTTAGACCCTCCCTACCTTCTTTGACACTGCCCTTTGACTCAGGAAGTAATGGGGTAACAGGGTGCCCCAATGATACTTCCCATCCTCAGCCAGTCTTAGCCCCAATACCAGCCATGGCCTCAAGCCAGTGGCTACCTACCTCTTTTCAAAAAAAATTTTTGAGACAGGTTGGCCTCAAATTCATGGTATTCCTCCTGCCTCAGCCTCCCAAGTGCTGGGATTACAGGCATGTGCTGCCACGCCTAACCCTACTTACCTTCTTGCCTGCACCTAGCACTGACCTCCACCTTTCAATAAATACAGGGTGAGAGTACTAAGATACCTATCTCTTCAACTTTCCTGAGATTGCTGTGCAGGGCCCATCGCCCCTGGGAACTCCTCCCCTCGTGCCCTTCTAACTACCCTAATCCATCATCCACCTGAAGCCTACCTCTCAGCTTCTCCCAGTCCCTTCTACCCCTTGCTGAGTTTGCCCACCCAGATCAGCACTAGCTGTTGCCCCTAAGCACTTAAACCATAAAGCTCCTATCTGGGCATTCCCCAGTTACTGAGAAGCCCACTCCTGTGACACTCCCTTCCTCCTGATCTATTGTCCCTGACTCTTACCTGAGGTGGTGTAGCTTCACCAGAAATACTTTCCTCTGAAGTTCCTCTTCTGGAATCCTTCACTTTCTCTAAGACCGTGCCCTGGGGCACAGCTACCAACTCGAGGCCTTTTCCCTAGGCGCAAGACCCAAAACTGCCTAGGAAAGCATCGAAGTAGCAAAAGGCCTGCTGTTCCACTTTCTCAAGACTCCTCCGTATTGGCTAGGGAGATAGCTCAGCGGCATAAGCGCCTGCCTGGCAAGCGTAAGGTCGGGAGTTTGATCCCTAGAAAGCTCTTAACTTCGCATGCTTTAACACCCTCTACTGGACAGGCGGTCCCCCGACAACCCACAGTTTTGACAGTTCCACCTCCCAAGAACCGTTTTCGAAAAAAAAAAAAAAAAAACCGTTTTCGGATCTACATTCCAGATTCCCACGCCATCCATAAACTCTACCTGGGCTGCCTCCACTGTCAAAAGTATTCTCATACTTCAGACCCCAGCACCTGTCAAAACCCCGCCGCAGACACCCCATCTATCAACACCCCTAAACAAGAAGCCACACCCCCATGGCCCCGACCAACCCTGGCATCATGCTCCAGCTCCCCGCCCGCTGCGCTGACCTGACTTCCACGGGACCCGGACCCAGCAATTTGTGCCGCTGGCGCGGCCCGGCTTTCTGACCTTCTGGGCCGCGGAGCTCGGTTCTGGTGTTTACATCAGGTCCCACTTCCGGGAGAGGAAGTCTGTGCCCGGAAGTGACATCCTGGACAAAAAGCTTGGTCTCGGTCCTGCTCACCAGTTCATGGGTGTTAGAAACATCCGCTCAATAGCAGGGTTTTCCTAGCAGGACTCGGGGATCAGAGTGAAGTCGGCGGAAGGATCGAAGGCTCTCCAAGGGCGAGACGGAGCCAAGTGGACGGGAGCGTAAGAGAGGGCTTTCCCCTTAGTACGGGGAATAAGGCGGAGTCTTCAATTCGTTAACCCACAGATGGGTAGAGGCACTAACCTTCCAGGCTAACGAGATTTGCTCCTCCGATTGGACTAGGGGAGCTACCTGCTGGTGCTCTGAAGGAGTTGTGCCAGGCTTAGGGAGGCGGCTTTGGAAGGCTCAAGGCAAAAGTGAATTTAGAGCCCCTGGCGTTTTATCTCCTGGATCTGGAGAAGGAAGGGTGGGATTTTACTTTCTTATTCTCCGCCCTATACCCGGCCTTGTTTTTGTCTTTTTTTGTTTTGTTGCCAGAGGCCCAAACCTAGGGATTCCAGTTTGCTAGGCAAGCATTCTACCGCTGAGCCAAATCCCCAGACCCCGTTTTTGTGGTTTTGAGGCAGGGTTTTGCTATACAGTTCCTCTGGCTTTAAACTCACTTTGTAGCCCAGGCTGATCCTCCAGCCTCGGCCTCCCAAGTGCTGGGATTACAGGTGTGCACCACCATGCCCAGCTAAACCTAATTTCTTGGAGGATCAGATATAAAGTTTAGTTTCAATTTGCTTTAATCCTGACACACACAAATCATCTCAAATCGCCTGATTTTATCAAATCAGTTCTTTTCCCATTGTTTTGCCTCCTTATCCCCTCCTAACAAAGCTAGTGAAATGACCAATCTGCCTTTTAGGAGAGGGTTACTTTTTCACTCATTCTCTCCCTAAATCAACCTCTTATGCCTAACTTATTGCAACAGTTACTGTTTTATGGAACAGTGTTGCCAAATTCTACAGTTTCTCGAGGCCTATTAAAATTGTTAAGTTGCTGGGGAATTAGCTCAGTAGAATAAGTGATTGTCTGGCAAGCATAAAGTCCTGAGTTCAATCCCCAGTACCATTAAAAAAATGTTAAGTTGTAGGCAGTCATGGTGGCACATGCCTTAACCCCAACGCTTAGAGGCTTGAGGTGAGTTCAAGGCCAGGCTGAAGCTACATATTGGGCTCAAGGTCAGCCTGGACTTCATAGTGAGATGCTGTCCCCGAAAAACCAAATAAAGTCAGCAAGCTCTTTAGTTTTGAGGCACTGTGTTACATAGTAATAGACAGACAATATAGATATTTTTTCTATCATAACTCCATTTATCACTACAAGAGACAAGGCTGGGGCTTTGGAATCAAATTTGACTTCAAATCTTAAATCCTGGGCATGTTATAGAATTTTGGTGGCCCAGTTTTCTCATTTGTAATACCTTTGGCTAGGCATGTTGGTGCATGGCTGTAATACCAGAACTCTCAAGGCAGAGGCAGCAAGATTGCTATAAATTCAGGGCCAGCCTGGGCTATATAATGGGTTCAAGTTCAGCATGGAATACATAGTAAGACCCTGTTTCAAAAAACAAACAAGAGTGCTGGCCAAATAGCTCAGCAGATTAAAGCACCTGAAGGTGCAGGGGCTGGCAGGGGCTGGGGATTTGATCCCCAGGCCTGCTGTGCCGGCTCTGCCTTCCCCAGGGTGATAGAGACTGGGTGTGGTCGCATGTGCCTGTAATCCAGCTCTTGGGAGCTATAAATAGGTGGATCACTAATGATCTAGTAGTGAGACCCTGAACACCCTGTAAGCCCTTCCCTAAAATACAAAAACAAACAAGAGCCAGGTGTGGTGGCACTCACCTGTAATCCCAGCACTAGGGAGGCTGAGACAGGAGGATCATTGTGTGAGACCAGCCTGGGCTACAAAGTGAGTTCAAGGCCAGCCTGAACATAATTGTGAAACCCTGCCTCAAAAACAGAATGACAAAAACAGACAAACAAACAAAAACCCCAGAAACATCTGGGCCTGGTGACACTGGCCTGTAATTGAAGCACTTGGGAGGCTGAGGCAGGAGGATCATTGCTGAGACCATCCTGGGCTACTAAGTGAGCTCAAGGCCAGTCTGAACTGCATAGTGAGACCCTGTCTAAAAAAAGATAAGCACCTAAAATCAAAACAAAACTGTTGGGAGCTGCTGAAGCTGGAAATTGATCCTCTGTGGGAGAGCAGTATGAGACCTCATCGCCTAAAGCAGAAAACTACCTCAGTCTTGAAGAAAAGCTTCCTAGGGGCTGGGGAGATAGCTCAGTAGAATAAGCACTTGCCTGGCAAGTGCAAGGACCTGAGTTCAATCCCTGGTTCCACCAAAAAAAAAAAGAAAGAAAAGAAAAAAGCTTCCTGTGTGGACATTGTTGTTCTGGGGTCCTTTGCCAATCAGGCATGGTCAACCACCTGGCCTCAGCTCTTACTCACTTATCTTTATTTTCTAAATCCTCTCATCATTTTGAGAGACCAGCGAATCCCTTCAAAAATAAAATACAGGGCTGGGGAGATAGCTCAGTGGTGTAAGTGCCTGCCTGGCAAACACAAAGACCCGAGTTCAATCCTCAGTACCACATGTAATGCTGGCCCTGGAACCCTGGGTGCCCAGTGCCAGCCAATGGAACTGGGCATCGTGGTACATGCCTGTAATCCCAGCACTAAGGAGGCTGAGACAGGGGGATTACTATGAGTTTGAAGTGCATAGGGAGGCCCTGTATCCAATTTAAAAAAAATACAGAGGAGCAAAAATTTAAAGAACTGGTATTAAAAAATAAATAAATAAATAAAAATAAAAAAACTGGCATTGATGAATTACATTTATTTAAAACAAGATACATGGAAAAAACCCAAACAAACAAGATACATGGGGTGCGGATACAGCTTAGCAGCACAGTGTCTACCTGGCAAAGCACAAGGTTCTGAGTTTGAGTCCCAAAATTAAAAAATATGTAGCTCCAGTCCAGTACCAAAAAAAAAAAGAATGTATGTGAACATTTCTCCACTTGTATCAATAATATATATATTTTTTTTTACTAGGGAAATTTTAAATTGCCTTTTCTTTCTTGGTCTTGAAGAATGTTGTCTCTATGTTTTAAATTAGACAGCACCAGGCACGGGGTGGGGTGGGGGTGTTTGATTCCCGGGCCTACCGTGCTGGCCCCTGCCCCTGGGGCACACTGAGAATGCAACTGAGACTGGGGTGGTGGTCCATGCCTGTAATCCCAGCTCTTTTTTCCGGAGGGGGGGCTGGCTCCGAATGCCTTCAGGGCATGTTTGGTTGGCTGGAGTTGTGGGGATCAAACCACAGCAACCTGAGGCTGACTGCTTTGTTGAAGCAGCCACTTAAACAACTGAGCTAAGGGGCAGGCCCCATGTAATCCCAGCTCTTGGGAGGCTGTAAACAGGCAGATCACTATGAGTCTGATCTAGTAGTGAGACCCTGAATACCCCATAGACCTTCCCTAAATAGCAAAAAAAAAAAAAAAAAAAAAAAAAAAAAATTAGACAGCACATTTGACTTATTTGTTCAGCCTAATAATTATATATTGAAATTGGATACCATGGTGGGGCATGATGTCTAACTCCTGTGATCCCAGAGTGGGCAGGCTCAGGCAGGCACCTAAAAGGTTGAGCCCTGCCTGGGAAATTTACTCAGTGAGGGCTTGTTTCAAAATGTAAATAAATAAATAAATAAGGATTAAGAATGTAGCTAAGGCCCGGGGAGATGGCTCAGTGGAATAAATGCTTCCCTGGCAAGCGCAAGGGCCTGAGTTCAATCCTCAATTCCGCCAAAAAAAAAAAAAAGAATGTAAGCACAAAGACCCTGGATTCAATCCCCACTTCTACAAAACAACTTATATACCATCACTTGCCCATAGTATACCCTGATGAAACACTCCTTTAATTTTTTTTCTTTTTTTTTTCCCCGGAACTGGGGATTGAACTCAGGCCCTTAGCCTTGCCAGGGAAGTGCTTATTCCACTGAGCCATCTCCCGGCTCCTTTTTTTTTAGGTTTCAAAAATTTATGTACTTAATAGTACTGATCACAGAAAAAAAAGATTCCTGATTAAGTATATTCCACTGTCCAGGCAATGGTTATTATTTATTTATTTATTTATTTATTTATTTTTGTGGAACCAGGGATTGAACTCAGGCCCTTGCGCTTGCCAGGGAAGCGCTTATTCCATTGAGCCATCTCCCCGGCCCGCAATGGTTATTTTTAAAACTTTATTCAGTATTGTCTTGACCATGATTAAAAGATGACATTGTCTTGTGACCTCCCAGAGGGTAAATGTGTTGCAGCTCATGTGCAACTCCTTACAGTCCTCGCTTGGTCCTCCTCCAGTGTCTCCTCTTGGAGTTGTACCTGATTTTATTACCTGTCTTCATACGAATCCACTGAGGAATGGGGTGATTCTGCTTTTGCTTCTTGGCCAGGAATCGT